GATAAACGTCTGTCTTCGATAGGGTAGCTTCTACTGATGCCTCTGAAGAGAACCCTTCACCTTCGGATGCTGGTAGAAGATTCGGGAACGTGCTCTGTAACTTCCAAGATGAGTCTGGGTGCTGAGGGCTCCACACCATGTAAGTGATGGGTGAGGGAGCTGCCTTTCCCTGCGGCATCTGGACGCCTGCATCATGAGCTGGCAGGACGTGCGCCCGCTGCGCAGAGAGGAGGTGCTGGGAGCCGGTTCCGGCGCTCAGGTCTGTGTGTGGCTTGTTTTACTGGAATGTTGGAGTCGTGTTCTCTCGCTGCCCCTGGGCCCCCACACCGAGCAGAGTTGAGACTTTGTGTCGCATCGGTTGTTGAAGCCAGCGTGGCCCAGCAAGGCTCCCGGGCATCCTGGGGCTTTGGCATCAAATGCACGCATGGTTCTGAAGCTTGCTCTGTGCTGGCCAGGTGCTTAGGGTCTCTGAGCTTCAGTTCCCCTGGCTTGCAGATGGGGACAACCTCTGCCCTTCCTGGAGGCTGTGGGATTGCAAGTGGCCCCAGGAGTGCCAGGCAGGTTGGCTGCCCTGAAGGCACAGGCCCCGGCTGGCACCCTTCATCTAGCAGACGTGTGGGTCGTGTGCATCACTCACCGTGTCCCTGGTTACCCGGAGTGGGGCTCACGAGCTCCCAGCGCTGTTCAGGGCGACTCGACTTTTGGAGTTCGGTCTGGAGTAGGGGTTCAAGTTGTTTTGGTACCAAAGTGGTAACATTTCATAAGTGATTCTGTCTGAAACTGAAGTATCTTGAGGTTAGTGAGCTACAAATAAAATAGATAGTAGAGAACCTACAGGAGAAATAGAAACAGAAGTGGTGTTTGGAAAAAACAGCACAGAGTTGGTGTAGCCTCGAGGTCGTCCTTGTGTCACCCTGTGCCGCCTCGGATACCAGTGTGGCAGCAGGTAGCCTGTTGGCCTCCTCAGTCTCACCCAGCCCTTAGCTCCTCACTGGACGGTGGTTTGGCATCTGTGTCCCTTCATGGACCGCAGGCTCCTCTCTAACAGGGCCCCTTCTTCACAGGGGTGCCACACATGGACCCTTGAATCCATGAAGATGCCCTGAGACCTGCACAGCAGGACCGGTAGCTCAGAGATGACGGTCAGCTTCTCTTCACAGGCGTGTGTCCTGTGAGCAGGTGTGTTCCATGAACAGGCATGTGTCCTATGAGCAGGAGTGTATTCCCTGAGCAGTTTTGTGTCCTATGAGCAGGTGTGTGTTCCCTGTGAGCAGGTGTGTCCCATGAACAGGTGTGTGTCCCCTGGATAGGTGTGTGTCCTGTGAGCATGTATGTGTTCCCAGAACAGGTTGTTCCCTGAGCAGGTGTGTGTCCTGTGAGCAGGTGTGTGTTCCCTGAGCAGGTGTGTGTTCCTGGAACTGGTGTGTCCATTAGATGGTGCACTCCTCCAGGGCAGGGCAGGGGCTTTGCTATCCTTGCCTTCAAAGAAAAACTGTTGTGAGAGGCTTTAGTTTCAAGTCTGCATCTTACTTGTCAAGCTGCTACACGATACGACTGGCCGTGTTGCCAGGAAGCTTCTATTTTTAGAGTTGCAGCTGCCAAAAAGCAACTGGGCACCGGCCATTGGGTGGCCGCTCTTCTGCTGTGGCCATGAGGGCGGGGCCTCCGTGAGCATCTTACTGATGCGGAGAGATTGTCAGCTTTATGTTGGAGCTCACTGCTCTCCTGAAGCTTCCCTGGGCGTGGATAAGTCGTGTGTGTCCTTAAGATTTCCGTACCAGACTCGTCTATTTTCCATTATTTTAGATTCCTTTTCTTTTTAGTGTACAAAAAACCTTATTCCCTAATAAAAATTGTATTGTTTGTTGTACTGAAAAATCCCTCTGAAGTGCATAACTGACTTTTAAGCTGCCCTGGTTGAATAATAATTTATTTCAAAACTTTCCACGAGTTGAACTTATTTTAGAAATGCAAGCCTTGAGAGATGGTTGTTGCTTCTGTAAAATGACATTTTCTTTTCCCTTTCATCCCAATTCTTAAAGGATCTGTTTTACTGGCGAGAAAAGAGACTTACTGTTCATATATTAAATCAGATAATGAGACATACAGCTTCGTGATTTGAACACAGGGTGCAGACGTTTTTGACTCTTCCAGACACGTGCCCAGGAACCGGTTGCCACTTCGTATGGATGCGAGGCATTAAACTGATGCCTTGAGTTTAAATGGTCATTTTCCTTGATTTGAAGTGTTTTGGTCCCTCCCTCAATGCCTGGTCAGTCTGCGTCTAAGGCCAGGCATGAGGAATAAAGCCAGGCCTGGACATTTGTTCTCGTACCCTGCTCCCGCCCGACTCAGACCCTGGGGCAGCATCTGGTTAGAACCCGTCCTCCGGGGTCTGATGCGCTCGAGGTCGAGGGCCATGGTGTCACCCGTGGATATGTGGCCCTCCCTGCAGGATAGGTCTCCTCGGTGGCCCGTCCTCATTGGGGACAGGCTCAGCTGCTGTGGCCGAAAGGCTGAGACATGACAGAGGCAGCGTGTCTACCTCGGGTCTTGAGTTGGGGGCCCTTTTTGGGGGTGGCCTTTGTCCTCGGCTGTGGCCCAGCCGCCTGGCCACAGGGAGTGCTCAGTCCAGATGAGGGACTCGTGCAGCAGCAGGTGGTCACCAGGGCCTCGGCCATCACACCAGGGGCCACCAGCAGGAAGGGTGCGGAGGGGTCAGTGGGATGGTGCCCGGGACCCTGCTGTCTGGTTCACTCTTTCCTGCCTCGTCTGCCTGGCCTGTGGAACGGGAAGCAGAGTAACTGCCTTTTTCACAAGGGCGTTTTGCGATGATTTAGGTGACATTTCAGGACATGTTGTAAAGACCGAAGGAAGGCCCATGTTGTAACAAACGTGGGTAAATGAAGCCGAGTCTGAGGTCACCCTGGTGCGTCCCCCAGAGGCCCCTCGTGGGAAAGGTGCAGACGTCCTTGCGTTTCACAGCCTAGTTTTCTCCTATTAGACACACTTTGGTTTTCAGGGGAGCCCTGCTGCTTAGCAGGAAAGTGGAGCATGTGATAGGGAAGGTCAACCCCAGCCACTTTGTCTTTCCCAGGGCCTGTCATGGGGTGACTATGTCCCCGGAATGCATCTGTTGAAGTCCTGACCCTTGGTGCCTCAGAATTTGACCCAATTTGGGTTTAATTCGTTAAGATGAGGCCTCAGTGGAGTAGGGTGGCCTCTAACCCAGTGTGACCGTGTCCCTGTGAGAAGGGGACACGGGGCACAGACACACTCACAGGGAGGTGTGTGGACTGGAGGCAGAGACGGGGCGAGGCGTCTGCAGGCCACAGAAGGCCATGGCTACCGCCACTGGCAGCAGCGGAGAGAGGTCTCAGGCACCTCCTCCCGCGGAGCCTGCAGGGGGTGTGGCCCCCCACACCTTGGCCTCGGGTTCTGGCCTCCAGACTGCCGGACTCAAGTTCTGCTGTTTGTCCCCTGTCTGTGGCACTTTGTTCTGGTCATCCCAGGAGAGACGGAGGTCGGGAGGCCGCGGGGGGCGCGGTCGAGGAGGATTCAGCCTCCAGACTCTGTGATGTGGCGCTGCTCTCACCGAGGGAGCACCGGGAGTCTCTGTTCTCCTGGGTTCCCGCGCTGGGCGCCTTGCCTGGGAATGAGCTGGTCGCAGGGCTCCCTCCCACGGAGCCCACGGCAGGCGGGCTGACCTCCTCCCTCTGGGCCGTTTGAGCTGGAGTTTTGGGAGTTTGTGGGGCTGGGGCTGCGACTGTCTGCTGCTCTGTGGGTTTTGTTTGTGTAGGAGGTCAGTTTTTTGTTTTTTCTTTTAAGGGTGGGAGATGAGGGGACACTTGGGTCATTTAGCCTAGATTTTCCATTTGGGTAAGAAGGTGACTCCACCCACTGATGGGTGTTTTCCTTGTTTCTGGAATATTTGTTTTTTGTTCTGAGACTTGGATGCTGTGTGAGGATTCTGTTCAGAGCTCTGTGTCCATTTTGACGATGGTAAGCGTTGAACCCGGAAACTTGCTTCAGATTCCAGCGAAGGCACAGCCACTCCCTCTGCGAGCAGTGCTCTGGGCCCCGCTGCTGTCACTTCTGCCCTAGCACAGCAGCCAGGCCTCCCACGGGGCGTGTTCCTCCCCCAGGCGTGCACCCCATGCAGATGTGCACTGTGCACAGGTGTGCTCCCCACTGAGGCATGCATCCCGCGCAGGTGTGCTCCCCACACAGGCATGCACCATGCACAGGCATGCTCCCCGCACAGGCATGCACTGTGCACAGAGTGCTCCCTGCACAGACGTGCACCGTGCACAGGTGTGCTCCCCGCACAGGCATGCACTGTGCACAGAGTGCTCCCTGCACAGACGTGCACCATGCACAGGTGTGCTCCCCACACAGGCGTGCTCCCTGCACAGACATGTGCCATGCACAGGCGTGCTCCCCACACAGGCGTGCACCATGCACAGGTGTGCTCCCCACACAGGCATGTGTTGTGCACAGAGTGCTCCCTGTACAGACGTGCACCGTGCACAGGTGTGCTCCCCACACAGGTGTGTACCATGCACAGGCGTGCTCCCTGCACAGGCGTGCACTCTGCACAGAGTGCTCCCCGCACAGACGTGTACCGTGAATAGGTGTGCTCCCTGCGCAGGTGTGTGTCCTGAGCTGTTGTGCTCCCTGCACAGGCGTGTGCTGTGCACAGAGTGCTCCCTGCACAGATGTGTGCTGTGCACAGGTGTGCTCCCTACATGGTGTGCTCCCTGCACAGAGTGCTCCCTCCACAGACGTGCCCATGCACAGGTGTGCTCCCTGCACAGGCGTGTGTCCCGTGCTAGTGTGCTCCCTGCACAGGTGTGCACCGTGCACAGATTGCTCCCTGCACAGATGTGCACCGTGCACAGGCCTGCGTGCCCACCTTCCTCACATGCAGTCAGTGCCTGACTCCCGCCTAGCGTGTTTGTGTCGACCGTGTGGGTAACTCTTTGGTTTTGCCCCCACAGAGTCTGTAGAAGAGGCGTCCAGCAACCAGACTTCCCGATGAACAACCGAAAGGAAGATATGGAAATCGCATCCCACTACCGGCAGCTGCTCCGTGAGCTCAACGAGCAGAGGCAGCACGGCGTCCTGTGTGACGTCTGCGTCGTCGTCGAGGGCAAGGTCTTCAAGGCACACAAGAACGTCCTCCTGGGCAGCAGCCGCTACTTCAAGACACTCTACTGCCAGGTGCAGAAGACATCTGACCAGGCCACAGTCACGCACCTGGACATCGTCACTGCCCAGGGCTTCAAGGCCATCATCGACTTCATGTACTCCGCCCACCTGGCTCTCACCAGCAGGAATGTCATCGAAGTGATGTCTGCTGCCAGCTTCCTGCAGATGACGGACATCGTGCAGGCATGCCACGACTTCATCAAGGCGGCGCTGGACATCAGCATCAAGCCAGACGCCTCCGATGAGCTCTCGGAGTTTGAGCTCGGCACCCCGTCGGGCAGCAGTACAGACGCGCTGATCTCTGCCGTGATGGCCGGCAGGAGCATCTCCCCGTGGTTGGCGCGGCACACGAGTCCTGCCAATTCTTCTGGAGACTCGGCCATCGCCAGCTGCCACGAAGGCGGAAGCAGCTACGGGAAAGAGGATCAGGAGCCGAAGGCCGACGGCCCTGACGATGTCTCCTCGCAGTCCCTGTGGCCTGGCGACGTGGGCTACGGGTCTCTGCGTATCAAGGAAGAGCAGATCTCGCCATCTCATTATGGAGGGAGCGAGCTGCCTTCTGCCAGGGACGGTGTGATCCAGAACTCTTTCTCAGAGCAGGCTGGAGGGGACGGTTGGCAGCCCACAGGCCGAAGGAAGAATCGGAAAAACAAAGAGACTGTCCGGCACATCACACAGCAGGCGGAGGACGACAGCCGGGCCGGTTCCCCGGTGCCGTCTTTCCTTCCGACATCGGGGTGGCCGTTCAGCAGCCGAGACTCAAGTAAGCCTTTCATTTGTTACAGGCGGGGCTCAGGCACCGTGGGGCCGTTAGTGGCCCAGGTGCACTGTGTGTTGGTGGCCCCATGGCTGTTCCTCTTGTAGACAAAGTGCTGCATTTCCAGTGGGTCACCTCCTCTCACAGTAGATTGCTGTGAGCTCAGGGAGTTCGACCAACGTGTCCCAAGGGCCCAGGCGTCCCCATCAGTACAGCACCGGCGTCACCGACACACAGAGGGCACTGGGGTAGGGCTGCTCTGAAGTTGGGCGGTACTTGAGTTGCGGGGTCCACAGCTGGAGGAGTGAGGTGGTGCCTGGCAGGAGCCCCCAGCATAAGGATGTGCAAGTGGCAGGCACGGCCTGCTTTCTCTTATGGGGCATGGCTTTCCTAAGCACTGGTGGGGTGACCGGATTGTAAAAGATTTAAATGTTAAAATTTTAGAAAGATGGAAAGTGCGTTAAATGAGGTGATGTGAAGGCGGGAGGGAGGGACCAAATGTTGCGTGCTGACCTTTCCCCAGTCACGCGGCTTCAGCTCTGGGTTCTCTGTCCAGCGGGCGTGTGCTGTGCTGTGGTCATTGCTGTGAACAAAAGATTCATGAGCATGAGTTTTGTCCTCGGTAAAAAATTTCCTCAACCTGGGGCTTGAGGACTTGTAGCCACGAAGCCCCTCACAACGAGGGGTGTTTGCTGTTTGCCATCAAGCGTGGGCTCCCATGTCGGACCCACAGACGTGGTGTTCTGTTCTCACAGCCAGTGGCTGTCATTGCACAATACGGGGGACTCTCCCGACCCCAGTCTGACCCCTGGGAGGCTCAAGCGGGCTCTGAGCTTCGCTCTGTTGAAGCTGCTCCTCCACTCGAGAGGACAGTTTGTGTCTGTCACTCAGACCAGGAAACAGCAAATTCGATGTTTCCTAAATAGCAGACGTGCTTCCCGGCGCCAAGCACGTGGCCATTACGGTGACTCCCAGCCTTTCTGAGTGGCAGATTGGGAACAAGCTTGTCACCCCTGCACCCCTGCACGTGCGCTGGAGACCTGGGGGCTGCGTTTGGGGTAAGGAAGGGTGGAGGAACAGGGGTTGGTCCAGAGCAGAATGGAGGCTTCCTGGCAACTGCCCGCTGTGGGGAGGCCCCTCCAGCACAGAGGTGGGAAGTCACTGGACTGTGTGAACGGACAGAGGTGGACAGAAGGCTGCAAACCAGGGAGTGGGGGCAGTAAGCTCTGAGAAAGGCCGCAAACACTGAGCACCCTGTGCTGGGGGGAGGCCGCCCGCTCCCCCTGCCCAGAGGGCTCCATTGGGCCCCGGGTGAGCCGGCTCCTGTTCTCCTCAGTGGCGAGAGTGCCCCCCTTGGGGCGCTCAATACACTACAGCTTTTATCATTGTGGTAAAGTGTACATAACATAAACTTCACGCTTTTAACCATTTGTAAGTGTACGATTCATTGGCGTTAAGTACATTCACACTGTTATGCACCCATCACCACTATTTCCAGAGTTTTCTCATCTTCCCAAGCTGAAAGTCTGTATCCATTAAGCAGTGCCTCCCCAGGATATGCTGTAGCCTTTATTATTCATTCACATTCTCATTGTTACTTTGTGTTCCCAGCCCTGAGCACAGGGCCAGACCCCTGGATGTTCAGTACAAGTTGGTTTACCCAGGCTTTCTCAGCCTCGGCATGATGACTCTCTGCCGTGGGGCCGTCCTGGGCGCTGCAGAATGCTAGCAGCATCTCTGGCCTCTACCCACCAGACGCCAGTAGCTACCCACCCCCTGGTTGACAACCAAAAATGTCTCCAGACGTTGCAAATGTCCCCAGCGGGCAGCCCCCCAGAACCCTTGGAGTTTAACTGAACTTAAGTCAGAAGAAGGTTACGTTTCTGAGCAGATAGAAGAACTGTCCATCTCCCTACTGGCTGTTGGGAAGGAGAGGTGCTCAGGCGTTGGTGAGTGACCGTGGTCTCTCCGTCTGCTCCCAGCTTGGTTCGTAATCTTTCGCTGGCTCTGACTAGAACCTGAAAAGCAGCAGTCCACGATGAATGACTTAAGGACGGATGCTTCGTGCGGAAGCTTCTGAGGGGGCTGGTGGAGTGGTACCTTCACCTCCTGTCCCGGGACACCTGCTTGTGTGTCATGAGTCGCCAATAGGCTGTGATGCTGGAGGCCTTTAGATATGAGAGTTTTTCAACAGTTAAGAAATGGTACGCTCCTTAAGCCCGTGGGTTTGATGTTTTAAATGCAGTTGTCGAGCAGAAGGTGTTTTTGGAATCCAACAAGTGATTTCGGCTGTGTACTTTTGTTAATGTCTTAAATCCCTTGGTTACCACGGCAACTGTGAGCCACTTCTGGTGGATGATTCTGAGTTGCTAAGGCAAGGACATGAGGTTGTGGGCTCGCGTGGGAGGGTTTCTGCCGCCTTCTGGTGACCATCGAGTCCTCCGCCCTGGCCCTGGGGCCGGGATTTGGAGGCGTAAATTCTGATCCCCAGTGGGGGTCAGTGTGTTTTCATTGAAGATTTATTATACCTTACAGGCGAGTATTTTTTACTTCTCATTCCACTTAAAGAGAAAAGGCTCCTTTCCAAAGAAACGTGGATGCTTGGATGTCCAGCCCTGCGGCCAGGGCTGCCCGCCCTGTGCCCTCTGTGTGTCCCCTCCTTGGCTTGTGGTGACTCTGGGGCCTGTTAGCATTTAAGAGTGATTTTCCAAGGAAAAAGCATTGTAACCCGGCAGCTTCTAAGAAAACATCCCCTGAAACTTGCTTATGAGTTATGGTAGCTCATTTGTGTGACTGCTTGTGGGAAACGGCATAAAATGTGCTGGTTTGTTGTGGGTTACAGCTGGGTTGTGGATGCAGGCAGGCCTTGTGGTCAGGCTCGCATTGTCACCCCTCACCTTCCCTGGGCTCCGGCCTCATCCCTTGTCTGCCGTCCCAAGGGTGGCTGTGAGCCCTCAATGAGGCGGAGTTGTAGCCACTAGTTCAGTGAGAATGAAACACGTGGGTTTGTAAGGTACGTGTTTGTACGGGGCCTTTAGCTAAGCTTGGACCTTGCTGTACTGGGCGTCTTGAGTGCATTGGAACCACAGAGCTGCCTCGGGTGGGCGAGGTGTCTCTGTAGTCACCTGGCTCCTGCCCTCACAGCCTCCTTCCTGCTGGGGGAGGGGAGCAGGTGGCACAGCTCTCAGGCTGGGGGACTCTCCTTGTGGCCCCAGGACGGGCCCAGCCTGCCTTTGCCGAGTTCACAAGTTCTCTTCCCAGCTCCTTGGAGCTCATCGCTGGGGCTGAAGCAGGAGCTGGCATGTGGCAGGTCCGAGACTGGGGCCCCCCTCCCCTCATGAGGGTGAGAAGGGGAACAGGCCCCGGGCTTTCTTAGCCTGGCCACGGGCACTGTGTCCTGAGCCACAGGGCGCAGAGGACTCGCTTCAGGAAGCAGTGAACCTGTGAGTGTGTCTGAGTCCACTTGCACGTTGGTTCCACAAACTGACCAGAGCTGTGAGGAGTGGCCGGAGCGCCCAGTGCCCAGGCTGACCCTCCTGGCACCTGGGGAGACTCGCAGGTGCGCCATCCACTTCGGGAAGAGGCTGCCTTTCCGCCTCTGTTGTTTCAACAGATTTGGTCATCTCTGTTAAAGAAAATCAGCTTGCTTAGTGTGATCTTTGTATTTTAGGGGTAGAAGGGTCTGAACAAAAGGTGACACTGTGTCCTCCTGTCAGTCTTGCGGGGCTGGGACTGGCTCTGCCTCCGACACCACGACCGAGGGGCCATTCCGAGACCTGGGGGCTCCACCCCCCCATCCCCTTCTCTGCTGCTCAGTGCTCTCAGAGGTTTGAGAGCTCGACTGCACCCCCAGATGTTGTCCTTCAGGCATGAGCAGAGTTACCTGGGATCGGTCCCGAGGGACCTCGCTGTCATCTGCCCAGGCCGCAGCTGGTGCCCCAGCAGAGACAGCGGCCCTCTCCAATGGAAGGTTTGGTCGGGAATGTGGAGAACGGGCCATGGCGGGGGACTTGCTGCCAGGATGGGAGGCAGCAAGGTGTGTCCTCATGCTGTTCCAGGAGAGCCCGAAGCACTGGTGACACAGAACAGGCAGAAGAAGAGCAGAAGCCACGCGGGTGGGATCTGGTGGGTGGAGAGGGAGCAGACGGGCCGACCGCCAGGGGCCAGGGCAGGCGCCCGTCTCCGGGGGGCTCCTCCCCTCTGAGCTTCGCCGTTTGCACTTCTGGTGGCTCTCCCGTGACCCGAGGCTGCTCTTTGGAACCACTGTCCTGAATGGAAGAGCCTCGTCACCTCGGATTTGCAGAGCCAGCTGGGCGGCATCTTTTCCTGCTCAAATGGAAGTGTCTTCCTTTGGCAACTGGCTTTTCTAGGAGTTGAGTTCACAAAGGATGAGCACTTGAAGCGCTGTCATGGACGTCCTTCTTGGCCTCACCCTTTCTCCAGGTGTGGAAACTGAGGCTGGGTGCTGCTCAGTGGCTTGTGTGTCACCCAGGGGGGCGCCCAGCAGAGCTGGGGCGATGCCCCCATCATGCCACGCCCTGAGGAAGAACTCGAGAGCCTTCTGGGTTGAGGAAGGACCAGGCAGGCCCAGTCGTGAGGCTGTGCTGTTGGAGCAGGAGGACGTGCTTCTGGAAGGCCCGCGAGCCGAGCGGCTCTCCAGGCTTGGGCGACGCAGAGAGCACGGCAGACGCCCTCCTTCAAGCATCGCCGAGGCTCGGCTTGGCATTTCCCTGACACGGTAGGATAGGGCCGGCAGTGGGACGCAGGGTGAGTTGGTCTGATCGCTCTGCTGCTGAGCAGCACTTGGTGGTAGTTTTTTGATACTCGTTTTTCCCAGGATGCATTTTTGCAGGAGGTGTGACTGCCTGGTCCTGCTCTGAGATCACATAGGGTCTGGAGGCTGCACCCTAGGAGTGTATTGGAGATAAAGTTTGTGCTGCTCTCCATCGGAAGTGTAGCCTTTGCTGCTTCGTGGTAGGTCCACAGACGTGCCACTGTCCCGCTGG